TGATCTGGTTTTGGGTTTGCTTAATTCTTCTGACAGTGGATTTTTTTTGAGGGAGGCTGAGGAAACCTGTTAATTTTACCTCAAATTAGTCTAAAAGCTTTTAAAGCTTCCCTGGCATGCTTGGGAGATAATATAGAAGTACTTAGTTGTAGAAAGCATCTGCAGAACAGATGAGTCATGATGCATTTTTTAAATTAGATTAGAAATAGAAGGGTAATATTCTAATGCCAAATTGTGATCTGTCAGACTTTAAAGAATAACATAAGATGCTGCAATAGAAATTAGGAAAGGGAAATAAGGACAGGTACTTGCATTGTTCCTGCTTTTTTTTCTGAAAAGCAGTTCCCTTGAGGTGCTTGCAATTTATAAGTTGTAGATTAAACAACACTGTAAGAAAACTTGGAAGATAGCTTAATTTCACATTATTTGTCAGTTCATTTTTTATTTTGATCAGATTTCTATTTTGCTTATTTACTTTAAAATAGAACAAAGAGGAAGATAGTGCTTTTTGATGTATTTCAAAGACAGCTTTGTGTGTATGTGCCTAAGGTCAGCAAAGCATTTTCAAAAGGAGTGTGAAAGAGAAAGATCCATATCAAAATTAAGAAGGGGAGGCCACTCCACATGTAGACAAGGCAAAAATGGACATGAAAACAAAGACAGTAAAATAGAGTAATCCAAAACAAATTAATCATATGATGAAGTTGTGGAGTTTTTGTGACTGGAAAGACAAAGGTGGTTTAATTAATTAAGCAAAGGAGAGTTACAGAAGAAATTTTCTTTGGTGATGGTTTATGAATGTTTTACATAGGACATTTATCTTCAAAACACTTGCAAAATGTAACTAGATTAATATATCTTAAAATTAACATTTTGCATTTTGGTATATAACTCTACATAGATAAAAATTGGCATCCATTGGCTGGCCCAAAGTGTGAATGAATGTAGAATTTCTTCCCCTTACTTCTCTGTGGCCATAATGGCAGTGATGGCACTGTGACATAGATTGATATGTCATGCCAAGGCTTTGATCTAAAGTTGGAAATGAGCTTTACATATCATATCAAGACATGAAATGATACAGGCAAAACCACTCAAGATATTTTCAACTCTGTTGCAATTGTGGAATCCTGGAAATACTCTATCAAGGCTGCTTCTTAGGGAAGTTTCATATTAATATACTCACAGAAACAAATCACTTCAGAAGACATTAAAATGCATACTATTTTTTTGCTATTTCCCACTCATTCTATGACTATTCAAAGAGTAATCCCCGTAGAACCATTTCACATCTTTATAAGCATTTCAAATGAACCAGGACTAAGTGAGAATAATAAATAAATACATGAAATAACTGCTTTTTGTCACAAGTTTATTTAAACAGAAGTAAATTCTTTTGAATTGAAGTCACAAGGGGTTCATTCATTTGTTCAGCTGTGGTAAAAGCGTTATGTATAAAGTGCTGGCTTCGATGTTGATTATGGAAAAAGTTTTATTGATGCTGGGAACACCTTGTCAAAATTTTGCCCCATCTGTGTAAAGTTAAACTGGAAGAATTTTGGTATTTCTTTCACAGTCACTCTTGCTCACTGAACTAGTTTATGCCTATGATACCTGTATAACTGGGCTTTATAACTGCTAGTATTGCTATAAAAAATGTTATAATAATAAACAGGACAAGTAAATGGAGGTAATGTGAAACTGAAACAGATGGTAGTGTTTAAAGAGCAGGAGAGGAAGGAAGAGAATTAACAAAATGTAGTTAATGCCTGAAAAATCAAAGAAGAGTCTGTCTTTACTTCAGATTAGGCAAACTAAGACCACTGTTACTTCTCTAGATGTGATTTATATTAAATTGCAGCACAGAGCACACAGTTGCAGCAAATGATAACTTGATATAAATGTTGACCTGAAGAAAACACAGTCTCTTAAATCTTCCTTGTGTAGCCCATTGCTTGTAGGTTTTAGTTTATTACATAAAAAGATGGCAGGGCAAAGGGGAATTATAGTCCTTGATAGATTATCAGCAGGATATCCCTACATTAAGTAAAATGAAATTGGTGATCTGAGTATTTCTTTTCAAAACACAAGAAGCCATAGCTACAGCAGGTTTCTTTCAATTTTTGTGTAGCAAATTAAAGGCGCTTTTTCAAAGTGAACATAAATATTGCATTTAGAGTTACATCATTATTGTAATTTTTATCCAGTTATGTCAAATCTTTCCAATCATTATTATAATGTTATTCCATTTATTTTAATGTAATTTCTCCTGGGTTTTAGCAGTATAAATACATGAAACCCCACTTTACAATGAAGCACGCTTACATGGAAGAGCAATAAAAGAATTTCTAACAGTCTGTTGCCTCCTTCAAAGGTGAAATCCTTGTTGACCTGAAGGGGTAAAACCCCATAGGACAAGCCATCTGATTTTAGTTTAAAACGGGGAATATATTATTAGTCCTGGAGACCCCAGCACACTACTCTCTGGAACTCTAAGAACTATAGCACTTCTGGTTTTGGGAAACTTTATGTAAAGAAGAGTTTCAAATTGGCTTCCTTTCTGCAGCAGACTGAATGGTGCAATGCTAAACATTAGTAGCCATGTTTTTCTCTCAGCTCAGATGTGAACTACTGAAGAAAATAAAAAAATTCAGACTGGAGAATATGACTAAAATTTAATTTGGAAAATTTAAAATCTTGTATAAAGAACTCTGTGAGTATAAATAATTTCTTTAGCCTTAGGGATATTCCTTTCTGACAAAATTGTCATTTAAAATAACAAGGAAAAAACATTGTGTTTGTCTTTGAAATTAATAACTTAGAAATTGAAAGGGGAGAGATGATCTCTGAAATGAAGGATGCTTTAGGGATATGTCTAGCAGAAGTAGTCGTTCTGGTATTAGGTAAACAAATGTCCCAAATCAAGATTGTGTTCCACTGTGCTAAGTGTTTTTTAAAGAAGATGAAAATGTATTATACATCAGCTAGCTTATCGGTTCGTGTAGATTTTTGCAAAGGACAATGGTACAAAAGTACAGTTGTTAGCTACAACCTTAACTGACCTTATCTAACAATTATGACAAGTACCAAATAACTGGAAAGGAAGACAATGAATTTTGTTCCTAGTAACCCTAGTTATAAATCTGGGCAATTCCATTAGCTGCAGTGGATTTATGCAGCTTTTACAGGAACCTGACCTGGAATTAAGAGTCCAAGCCTTTGTGTTGATGCAGGGTTCATTCTACTTTTGCTGTACTTCCTGTGATTTCTGTTGGTAGGGTACATAGTGACTTGGTGTGTAGCCTAACTTATTTTGACAAAATCCTTTGCTCTCAATAATACCATACAGAAAATGATCCTGTTGGATTCTGAGATTACATGTTTTTGTAGCTAAAGCTGTATTTGTAAAGTGTGAGGTGCTGTCCTCTGTCCTCTATGTTAACATTTGGCTTCTCTTCCCTTCTGACTGCTTTTGTAAATCAATTTAATTTGAACTATAACAGAAATGTTTCATAACTTCAATGTCTTTGCAAATAGCTTTTTAAAAAACATTATAATGTAATTTTCTATAGCACTGAAGCTTCTTAAAATATTAAGCTATTGTACATCAAGGAGAATTTTGTTGTATACATTCATGCATCTAAAGACAGGAGAGGGCATGCTGTACTTAACTTGTTTGACCTGTAATGGATACAAGGAATGGAAAATTTGACTGCATGTGTAATGACCTGGTAGCCCAGGTAATTTCCTTTATGCATTAAAATAGGTAACTGACATTCATAATGCATAGAATCTTGCTTGTTAAGCAGTCTAGCATTGTATTTGCAGAGCTACTGCTATGCTAACTGGTATTATGTTCACATTCAGTGATTTATTTGACCTGGGAAGCCAAAGAATTTTTTCTTTCCTAAGAACATGCTTTCTAGGGCTCCAAATGACCAAATGATCTACATTCTAGTTTTCCACTTTATTGCAGTTGTGATAAATACATGATCATTTGCAATATATGTGTGTATATGTATGTATACAAGGTGGGACATATGGTATATACATCAGCATATATTGGGCCATTACTTTCACTTTGGTCTGTGACTTCAACATTGTTCTGTGGCTTCACAAACCTATTTTAGAAACCTCACAAATAAATCACTAATCGTACTTGTGGAAGTTACCTCCTTCCTTAGATAAAAGTATATCTATAAAGTACCAGTTTGTATAGAGTATGCTTTGGACCTGTCCCACTGTTAAATAAAGCATAATATAATAAACTAGAATTTGCAATGGCTGCCTGACACACACAAAGATATTTTAATTAACCTGCATGCAGAAATTAACCCTTAGAGTACTGCTTCAAATTCCTCAATTTATTTTGTTATTTAATTTTTCCAGTCGGCTATGCTGCTTTTCTACTCAGTTCATAATACTGTACATAAAGTACATTAAATAGCCATACACAAAAAAGAAGTGAGAAAAAGGAAAAAAAAAAACAAAACACCCAAACCCAACTTCTTTTAAACAAGGGATTCTACAAGACTAAGTACCCCAGGTTGCTAATGGGCAATGTATTCCTAAGCAACTACTTTTTTTTTAGGGTTGTAGATTATGAATTGAATTAAAATCATGTAATGTTTCACTGTAGCTGTGTGCTTGTTAGGTTTGTTCCTAAAGTATCATAGGTATGTCTCCTATAGAAAGAAGTCAGTTCTTTAAGGGTTAATGGGGTTAAGGAATCCTGAGGTATTCTCCTGCTTGTCCTTTCTTAAAGGTATTTGCATGTTAATTCTCAGATATTACCTGAATAGGTGACTATAAAGACTGTATGAATGACTAACTGAATGAATGAGATAATTCATTTGAAATGCTTGCTTGTATCTTGTAAATGACTGGGAATCAGAAATGTGTTTTCTTAATCAAGATCTTTGATGAAACGCATAAAAATCTCACCAGAGTAGAAACTCATATACTGAACATTTACTCTGATGTCTTTTTCTTTCAAATAGCCCAATAGAATCCTGCCAGAATTTCTACAAAGATTTCACATTACAGATCGACATGGCTTTCAATGTGTTCTTCCTACTCTACTTCGGCTTGCGTGTAAGTAGCGTATCTTTGCTAGCATGGCTTGGGGAGTGAATATAGCTGTTAGGTAGGGAGGGTCTTTGAATGCAGCCTGACTTAACAATTGATGGAGAAAATTAAGCTAATTTCTAAAATGCATGAGCAAAGCATTTGATTGAGAACATTTAGGTAATAATAATAAGCATTTAAGATCACTAAGGAGACTGATAGTTTATAAATGATGGAATCTGTTCCAGAATGTTCTCATGTAGTAGAAAGTGAAAACTACTATAGTTCTGTGCTGGTCAGTGATGTCTAATCTAGTTTCACTCTCAAATGAGTGATCACTCTCAATGGAGTGATAACTACCTCAGTAAGACTAGTGAATACTTGATCTATTCCTCTGCTGCTACATATGTCTTTGACAGTCAAAGGTTGAGATTGGTAGAGCTGCTGTGTTCAGTTTTATGTGCATCCACTTTCCCAGAATGTTAATGAATGCTTTGCAGAAGCTGTAAATACTAGTCAACGTGTTGAAATGTATATCCTTGGAATATACTTAGCACTTTCTGAAAATCTAGTAATGCTGTTTCAGGATCAAAAAGTTGGGACATTTGAAACAGGTAGGTACTTTTAAAAGTTCGGAGCAGTAATGTCTGCAGTTCAAGCTGTTGGGTTTAGGGTTTTATTTTTTGTTTTTTTTTTTTTTTTTTTTTTTTTTTTTTTTTTTTTTGTGTGTGTGTTTATTTGTTTGTTTATTTTTTAAATATGCTTTGAAAACTAACTTTGCTTGTTGTTAATTGGAAAATCAGGAGAAAAAAAGGCCTCAAACTAACAGAACTACAAGGAAAACCTCATTTGAGTAGAAAGCCTGACACATTGGTCTTTACATTTGATACAAGTATTGCCTCCTGATCTTTCTTTGTCCATTTTGCTTCTGAATCACAGGAACTCCTATGTCACAATGAAAGTTGAGTTTGTCCTATTTCACTTCTGACCAACTCAACCAACTTTTTCTGATGATCCAATCAGGAATTTTGTTGTAAATCTAGGTTATTTCATTATGTAGTCTAGGTTTAACTAAATAGATATCTTCCTTCAGTATCTACACTTCTATTATGCATTCTAAGCTGTATTTTGAAAGCATATAGTGTAATATCCCCTATTTTTTAAGCATCTGGGGGGCTTCTGTGGATGTCCACCAAGCCTGCAATATAGGTTAACTTTTTGAGATAACAGTTTCAATGCATGTTACTTGTGAAGTTCCAAGAACCCTTTTTTTTAGAAGTATGTAAATGCTTTATAAATTTTGGGCTACTGATAAAGTAATATGTTCTTACTAAGAGAATTAAAATTACATATTGGCCACTCTTTTTTACTCAAAGCAGTAACTTAGGCTAGGTCATCAAGAAGCAGAGCACAATAAGAGAGAATATACTGAGAGTTGATGCTAATACTTTCATGTTCACAGTATACATTTTTTGGAAGGGAGAGAGAGTACTGTAGAGTCCACTGTGGTCCTGTGAACTGAATGCACTTTAGCAGTTACAGTATATGAGATGCACTGCTAGAACACCTTTTTAAATTTTATTTTCAACGAAAACAAATCTCTGTGTTATCCAAAACTACTTTGTGATGCAAACTGAAATATAGTAAGTGGAGATGATAAGGATGAACTTCAGATTAGTACTCCTTTTCTAAGTTAAAATGATAATATAGGTGTAACTTCAGTTCCTCAAGAAGTCCTGATGAATTAAACAGGAGTTCCTGAGGAGAAGGTGATACTAGGTTGTGTGGATGCAAGAATTAGATCGATAATGAATTTGCTAGTTACATAATAAGCATCTCATACCTTAGCTATTTTTGTTGAGTTTTTTCTGATAAATATCTCCTGTGAGGGACTCACTGGCAAATTAAAGTATTTGAAGAAATATTTTAAAAACTCATCCTTCTCCATCTGTTCTCCCCAAAATGATGTTGCAACTCAGAGACATATAAATATTACCATAGCTTCAGTTCTAGAAGATATTTGTGTTCAAACACACATATATCCATTTTAAAATCTTTGTTGGCTAGTATCCAACTATGTGAGAACTCAGAAGTGAAGTCTGCAAACTGCTGATGAAGACGACTAAGTCCAAATTGCACAAGTTAACACGTAAGCAGTAGCATCTGGCAGAGATATGGCAAGTATGGAAGTAACCCTTATTTGGAAGCAACAGAATTATGCTAGTGTTTCTAGAAGAACATGGTATTTCTTCATGCCTGGTAGGATTGCTTCTGTAATGAAATGAGCTTTTATTAGTCACTAATTACCTAAATGAACAACTGTTCAAATACTTCCATAGAAAAGTAGGAGTGGCCTTTACAATCAACAGACTTTGTTTTCATTGTTGAATAACACACTTTAACCTTTCTGAAAGCCTAAAGGTTGTGCCATGGGTAAAGATAAAATGTTGATTAGAACATCTGTTGCAGGTTATGAAAATATGGATCTGACATCTTAAAGCTTTTAGTTCCAAATATTCTGTCTACTTCTAAATTTAACAGAATGGAATAGAAAGTTCTTGCTGAAACTGGATATTTTTGTTCCATTTTCATGCTGGAGCATTGATATTGGGTAATACAGACTAACAAAATTTCAATTTATTTTTGATTTTGAGTCTTCTCTGGGGCAAATACTGCTCATGTTGTCTGTTTTCTTTTTAAGTGTGATTTCAACATTCTTGACATCAGTAGAATCCTCTTTCCAATATTTTATCTGGGATTCCGGCAAAGCTAGTATGCACCATAAACATTTTCTGTTAAAGTTTTAAAGTAATTCTAAAGCAAGGAGATTAAGTGGATTAATTAGAGAATGTCAGTATTTGCTTCGGAAGAAAGACAATGGATATTGTCTGTGGTTCAAAAAATACATCACTGTTTTGAAATATGTTAGTCCAGGTTTTAAGACTTACATGAGTCAAACTGCTCCATTAAATATCTGTGTGATGCACTCAAATGTTATGTTTATTTTTATATTTATATTTCATATTTGTATAAAGCATATGTTTTAATTATTGCTCAAATATAAATAGTAGTTTGACCTTATTTAAGCACATATATGAATAGGCAAGTTCAAGCTATGATGTCTTTGGCATCCAAGTTTGACAGTTTCCCTATCTGATTTCATAGTCAGGAGAAAGAAATTACATGTGACACAATTCAAAGGACTGAAGTCCTGTTACAGTCCTGCAGTGTGCCTTGTAGGATTCATTCTGGTGATTACCTCTGGATAGGATGATAATGGGACTTTTTGTAAACTATGATGTGTTTAGAATCCTGTGAACAGCAGATATATGATGAGACTCTCACTGGCATGTTTGGTGTGCTAGAGCAAAGGTGATATACTTTGAAACATTTTATACTACCTACACTGTTCTAATATTACTGTTACATTGTTAATAAATGTAGAGAAAATAGAGTCTTATAACAGATATTACAACTCATCATATAAATGCTCTGTCTCTTTAGTTAGACCTTTCATTTCAATCTCGATGTGGTTATAAAGCAGTGCATAATACAGACTTCTTTCCAGTGAGACATGTTGTTTTGTCTGGACTGACTTAAAAGATCAGTTACTTTTCCACTGACTTTGGAGTTTAATACTTTAGAATGAAAAAATTGCACACACTTGCAACCACCATGAACGTTTTTCATCCCTCCCCTTCTTTCTTCTTTTCAGTTCATAGCCGCCAATGACAAGCTATGGTTTTGGCTAGAAGTTAACTCAGTAGTAGATTTCTTCACGGTCCCTCCAGTGTTTGTGTCAGTATATTTAAACAGAAGTTGGCTTGGTAAGTAAAACAGTTTTTCCTTTCAATAGCTATTATAAAAATACTTAAACTTTGCACATTTTGATGGAGAATTTCTTCATCTTGTGGCATTGTGTAAGCAGAAGAATGTTACCAAAGTTGCCTTTGCAGTGACTTTGTCATTTCACCAGACAGGTGGGTCATGCCAGAAAAAGCACTTACCAAGTCCATTTTGTTCTTGATTCATTAATATAATCTCCACTCTAAGTGATGGTAAACTCCAGCTTGGAAGTACTGTATAACATGAAGCAAATGGTGAATTTGATTTAATTGTCTCAGCTTACAACTTGAACAGGTGATCCAGACCATTCATTCACTAAACTGGATGGCCGTGAATCATTGTCAACAATGAAATCAACAAATTATCTTCACTTTTTTGAGCCAATATAGCAGTATTTTAAATCCACTGAAACAATAGATTTGGAAGTATTGTTCAGACACTTACTGGGCTTAATATTTGTGTAGGACTGCTAGGAATACATTAGAAAAGAATATGCCACATGTAAAAGGGAGTACAAAATGAAGCAGAGCAGACAAAATAAATCAATTAAAGAATACCCATAATGTGACATATGAAGTTTCTTGTACAAATTGCATATTCACTCTAGTTAAGTAAAATGAAGGTCAAAATTTGAGAGCTTTTATTCAGGGAAAACTTCCTGAAGTGGCATATTTTGTGAATACCATGTCTTTAGACAACATATGAAACCTCACAATTTGACAGTCCCTTTCTCCAGCAATACAGGAACTCATTGTCCCTGAAAACTGAAGAGAGTGGTCATCTTAAATGTTTCACATGGAAAGGAAAATAAAACAGAGGATCTTATCTACTATTAGACTATTTTCAACTTGATACAGAAATGCAAAGATGCAAAAATTATTGATTAATTACTGTTGTAAGAAAGGAGATTAATAAATGTATAACCACATTAGAGTTCATACTATATACATCAGTGGTTATTAGTATGCCAAAGAAGAACAGTGAAACAGCCAGAAGAGAATACTGCAGATCCTCATATGATTACTGTCTTCATCACATAGGAAATCAAATAAAAAAAGAAGATATGTAAATAAAAAACAATCTTATCCTTAGAAGAAAATTGCTGAGTTCAGTAGCTATAACTCAATCCTGGATTCTTTTCATTAGGTGAATTAAAGGGATGTATTTTCACAATTGAATGTGACATATCAGAGTTTCCCAGAACTTTGAGTTTGAAATCATTGCAGATGAAGGCTATGTAAGAGCAAAAACTAGAATCACAGGATCTGTACAAAAGGAATATGAAATGAGAAAATAACAAAAACACAAAATTTGGGAAATGAGGCAAAGAGATAATTATTTGAGATTAATAGCCTTTCTGAAAGTGACTGCATAATGGACTGACTCATGGTGACACACCAGTCTAACTAACAGTACCAACCAGAATAACGAGACAGTTTGCCTGTTTAGCAGTTTCTGCTGGATAGTTTTTACAAAATTTATGTGATTTTTTCGGCAGAGTTAAGCATTATAATTCTATTTATTCATAGGGTTGAATGGATTTCCATCTCTCTTAATTACACCAATGTCACTTTCTCACGATTTCTTGTTTATAGTCCCACTTTATCTGTTTTCTCATGGAGTCCTCCTGAGACATTTATCACCTGTTGAGACACAGAATTCTTCATATTTTTTTATGTAGTCATCTTAGGAGTGACATATTTACAGTGTTTGAGCATCGCACCTGCTTCCACTGTATTTATTCCAAAGGGGTTTTCACTTTAGGGAAAATCATCCTTAGTGAAGTAATTCACTAATTCAAAAATGTGAATTATTGTGGTCCCTGGCATAGCTGTAGTTTCAATCAGCAAGTTACTATTTTGAGATGCTGTGATGAAATAGTTTTTTAAACAAATACACTGAATTGTATTGATGAAGATTGTCTATTCCTTTACACCTTTTAAAGAGAAGGCAAAATTTACTCTGCCTGCTGAGCTCAAATACCTCAGACATACTTGTATGTAATGCAGTGACAGGACTGGCAGTGTGAGTGGAGGGGAAGGGAGGGTGTTTAGACCATATTATATACAGTTTCAAGCTAGATGTCTACTTTTCCTTTTTATATAATTTTTGTAATTGAGATATCCTTGTGTGGAGGGTGATTCAGAACATGTAAGTTCTGGTTTTTGCACCAAGTGTCCCTGTGGAAATAGGATTCACAGGGAGGTTAGCCTTTTAGTGAGACAAGTAAATAGGGACTGCTTAATGTTAGGCAATTTGAAAATCATTTAACAAGTTTGGACTTTAGTGTATCCCACTAATTCTTTGCATGTTTTAAGAATTTGTTACTGATTAAACAGAATTCCTTTATATGCCTTAAATTTCAAGATCATTTAGGTGCACAAATACAATATCTTGTCTGGAATGTATTGTGCATCAGGGTATTTCCAGTTTCTTTCACTATTGATTCACATCAGTTATCTGTGATGAGTTTATTTAAGTCCTAGACAGAAAGCAGGTCATCAGAATGTAGTTCCCTGAATTCCTAATTTCACAAGAACTGTCCTGGTTTAGCCAACTGACAAGTAAGTACGAACACACAGTTTAAACAGTATTTTAAGAAGCCTAAACCATCCTAAATCAAAAGTAAACTTTGCCTTCGGAGCACTAAATGCTCATAGAAAGATGTGAAGTATAGCAGAGGACCTGTGGTCTGAATATATCGTCTTTTAATACACTATAGTGAAAAGCCTGTGTTTCTTTTTTTTTTTTCTTTTCTTATGCTAGTTCAGAAATGCCATTATTCAGCTATTATGTAACTCTTAGTATTGTGAAGCCTTCCACTTTCCCTGCTAGTCTTTTGCATTCAGTTGTTCCTAAAATGTGTTTTTGTATCACAAAATGCTTTATATGAATGAAATTTTCATGTTTCATGAATATGAAACATTACTTGCTAATTTTATGAGCAGACTGTGTTAGAATAAATTGCCTTGACAGGAGGGTATTGTAGGGGAAGATTAAGCACGTAAAATATGATTTTAGCTTCACATTTACAGGGACATGTGAATGAGGAACAATTAGCCTTAGAACTACAGTAATTTAAATAAAGCCTTATATATGGATTTGATAGTGTTTTATATTATTGAATCACAGAAATTAAAGAAAGAAAAGATCTGTTAATCCATTTCCTTTTCCTTACCATGTGCTTCATCTGTTCTACTGTACAAAATTTCAAGTGATAGAAACTGTTTGATTCCTAATACATTCTATTACCAGGAAGATTTTTTCACCATCCTTCTTCTCTGACATCCCCTTTAGTCTAGGCTGCTGTTGAAGCCATGCTGTTTTTTCAGAAAATAAATCTTACAGTAGGGAAAGGAAGACAGACAACAGATGCAAACGTAGACACATGTGCATCATAGAGAACGAACATCTTTGTGTGGTGGTTAGCAGAGTTATAGAAAAGAGGGTATCCTTTTTTCCAGTGCTTGCTCAAATTTTCTTTCCAGGTCCTTTTATAGACATCTTAATTCAATTTGGATAAGACTTGTGGTCTTAGTATCAATTCCTTGTCTGAGAAGACCATATCCAACATTTCTGGTAGACATTCAGCTATTTTTGTGAGTTGGAGAACAAAATCGGTTGCCAGCTACGGAAAGAGGTAGATGGCTTTAGAGAAATGGCAATGTGTCTTAATAAGATAGTTAAGCTGATGGTATGAATGTCTCCTGGCCATCCATCCAGTATGCTTCAAGCTTTAGTTAAAAATTTGTGACATGAAAATGTTTGTTTCAATACTTTGTAGACTTTTTTGACATAACTTCTACAGAACAGCTCAGCCTGAAATCATATGTGAATCTGCGGAACACTTTATTCCTTTTGGAAAACATACTTATTTTAATTGAACTTAGAGCAATATGTTAGTCATACTGACACAAAGAAGTTCTCTGATAACTAAATTGTAGGGACACCAGTGTGAGAGAGGAATTATGAGCTCCAAAACTTTATAATAATTTACTGTATTTTGATGCATTCACAGGTCTCAAAACTATTCCTTTCTTAACACCTTCATTTTGCGATCATTTGCAATGATTGTTGGTTAAGTATTGTGCATTTCCGCCATCTATTGGTGAAAACTTGGATACGCATCCAAATTCTACAAAATTTCTTACAAAGCTAGTATTTCATATAGCTTTAAAGCATTTTGCTTCATTTTACTTACATTGTAAGTTATTTTATATGTAATGAAAGCTAAATTCTGTAAAATTTCCTATTTTATGTATACTTCAAATACCTTCAAGCAGGTATCAGAATTAATTTAATAAAAATACTTAATCTCCTTGGTGATTTGTCAGTAATATGTAATTGAATGAACTGTATCACATTTGTGTTATATTGAAGGCAACAGTTTTTTGCTTTCTTCTAGATACCTTAGTTCAGTTTTCACAGAGCATGTACATTTTGACAGAGTACCAGTTACAGTGGTACTTCACAATAGGCTTTTGAGTTGTTACAAAATAAATAGAAAAAGGTAACTTTGTGACAAATGTGTATTTGACATAACATTTACAGCAAATTATTATGAATGTTGTTGCACACAATTGTGAAAATATGGTTCTCCTTCTCTCTCCTCCACTGGTGAGAAGTCAAACAAGTTAGCCAAAAGACACTGGAGCAGAGGAGAAACACAAGGACCATACTAGTCTCAAGTGTCATTAGTTCCTGTCATCTAGCTGAGATTCATAGAAACTGTGCTTAGTTCCCTACTGAATTCAAAGTAAACAGGATAATTGAAATTGTCTTCTGTTCCCAGTCTATCCCTGTCTGTGAGTGGTACTTTGCATAGAAAATTTACCCTAAATTCATTCAATTTTCTATTCTACTCTGATTGGGAGGAGCTATAGGTAGGGGAGTATTTTGTTTTTTTTCCTGTGTGAATGAGTGCCAGACTTAGCTCCAAAGTAGTCATACTCTCTGAATGTTGAGGAGCTATTGCAAGTTA